GCTCAATGGTTAGTTAATACGAGCACTACTTAATTATTTTTGTCATCTTGACAGAGGGTAGGTTAAAAGAAAACCCTAATCCTTACGGTAGCTTTTCACTGGAAACATTCTATCACGGTTTTTGAAAAATCCCACTAGAAATTTTCTACATTTGTTGGATCATTCAAAGTAATATACCGGTATTGTTTGATATAAAGTTTTACTTTTCCTGAACAGTTTTTTCTAGCATTTATCGATTATGAATATTTCTCTACTCTAGAATTTGCCCTAACAATCTCATCTCGCTGTGCTAATGGGGTACAGCAATTTGAACCGATCTACATACATACTAGGTCTCTTTCACTGAGTTGATGTTTATCGAAGCATAATGTAAGGAGAAACAATTAATAATCTTGACTAGTTTACGTTGATAAGGTCATTCTGTTTGATGCTAGTGTATCATTTCACTTTCTATTATATTCCCAAGTTCATGAACACCAGTTTTCGCTTAATGAGTTATAAGATGTTTCAGTTCGAACCAAATGTCATACGAAATTAGATTCCGAATCCATTCAATCTGAAGATGTTTTCGTTACGGATTGATATTAGTTACAGAATCACTGAAAACAGGGGATCTGTAAACAACCGCTTAACATGGATACGTGATTCCTCAGTAGCATATATTCATGAACCTTCTAGAGACTGAACACGAAAATAACGATTATTGCCCCAATTTCGCTAATTTTAGAAAACTCAATCCAATGGTATACATTTCCAACTTCAGTTAAAAAACAAAACAGTGAGACAGTTATTCCATTTCACTGATAGATAACAGACTTATTTGGAGAGTCGATTGGTTTGAACGTCTGAAAGAGTCTAGGTACATTGGTGTTCAAGTAGACATAATTCACAGTTTAAGTATTAAAAATTGAAATACCACTTTTAAAACTCACCTTGAGACGATGGTCAAGACTTGAAGTAGGTCCGGCATATGACTGAAGAGTTTCAAGTGGATCTTCTTCATCATTTAACAAGGATAGTGCTGAACTTAATAACCAACACAACGAAGAAGTTATGAAGTTAATGAGCAAATAAGGATTATATATAAATATACCTAATGTGTGCGGCGATTAACGTTTAGTCACTAAACTGCAAGTTTAAGACTCAACCTATTTCAGTTCTGGTAGTCCAGTAGTATCACTGGCCCTTAGATACAAAGTATGGCGCGAAGCCAATTATATGAACTTGTACTTGGTGTGCTGTCTCATCACTGAACCGCAAAGAAATAATCACACGAACAACTTGGTTGTACATAGATAAGATTTGGGAAGGGTACAAACTAATTCATTCAAAGGTTTTGATTTCTATGTTCAGGCGAGTTTCTACACAACCCAGAATGCAAACCTATTACGACTAGTGGTTTAGGAAAAAAATCAGACAACTTTTACACTCACATAAATATTCAAAACTATGTCCAAAACTGAGTTATTAAAGAATCATCAGATGTACCTATTTTTAAAGAAAACTTACTTTGGTGGGACAATGAATCTTGGTCGAGGAGTGGTCGAATTTTTAACAGGTACTAAATTAATTGGATCAGATGTTTCACTGTCAGCAGTCGTAGCATCTAAGATTGAAAAAGATGTATTTGCAAAACTAATTAAAAAAACCTATCAGGGAGGCAGAAGAAATAGTGTGAAGATTGATTCCTTTTATTTATATTAAAGTCTCGACCACAGTCATTACTTTGATATAGCGATCAGGTTTCCCAAACACGATTTGTCTGACTTATGATGGCTGGAACAGCCACCAGTCGGGTGGATTTAAGAAGGAGGAAACAAAAACACATCTTAGGGCCCAGAACTCAGTTTCATTGCTGACTGTAATAGGGTATGGGCTCAGTAAGATGTTTCCAAAGGGTATTAAGCAAATCAACCGATCTTATCTTTTTATGGATATCTCTAAAAAGCTAGATCAAAAAGAGTACTAAAGAACGGTTATCTTTGACCGAACTCAGCCAGTTGTCCTCGGGAGGTTGAACCCATTGGTCCCAGTTCGTTCCCCACGGTGTGGTCAATCAAGTATTAACCGTTTATACACTTGAGTACAAACACTTTTGAAAATGGAAACAAGTAATATAGTTTATAAACCCACATAAGACGGATAATTAACAGTGCATACGATTATGTATCAGTGGAGAAAGGGTATCTTGTGTTTGCAGAATGAAGATATAGATCGTTCAATAAGGAAAAATGCTATTCTGTTCGCCTTTCTACTTGATTAGTGTCTACTAATTATATTTGTTTGCATTCTTAACGTGAAACAACTGCGAGGATTTTCCATGTCACAAAAAATAACGAAATAAATAGTTATTAGAAAACGCGATGAAATCAACAGAATATTTAGAATCATAAACTTTGACATAAAATCAGTCTAATGTACTCACTATTTAAAGGTTAATAATTTCACTTGTCTTAATGTCGCTTTATCTAATTTTTATTAATAAACCATTTGATTCATTAATCTATTGGCTGCGAAAAGTGATAACAATTTGATAAATATAAACATTATTATTGAGAGCAAACAATGTACATTACATAAAGAAATAGAATATCTTACCAATTAAGGTCAATAATTCTGTTTTCTGTAAGTGTTCAAAATCTTGATCCAATTGTAGTGGATTAAAGCATCTCTGACAAACTGGCTGACATGGTATAGGTGAACCAAGTAAACTATCATTACTACTACTAGCACCAACAAATTGTCCAGTTGTAAAAGTGGATGTTTGTTGTGACATTACACACCATTACAATCCTGCTATTGTCTTATTTCCTTATAAATGTAAATATTAAAAAGTGGTTTTAATAAAACGAAAGAAGAATCAAAGAAATTTGTCTGACTCACTATAACATGGTGGATACATCCTGCGTAATTGTTATCTCGCCCATACTTTTTAAGTTCCCAATCCCACTGATCTAATTACAATCAAAACAATTATATTTTTATTATCACCTAGAGTTTATTACACTGTACATGAACCAAGCATGAAATATACAACTGCCAGCCAAATTTTGGCGAGTGTAAAATCGATATTTTGTTTCATTTTGCTTTACTACTCGCACAAAAACCAAATATATTCAGGTTTCGTGCTTGAATGTTCATTATTTTGGATTGAAATTTCATATGATAATTTCGATAAACAAATGATTCCTATAAGACTAATCGAATTAGGAAGATTTACAGTGTAATATAAAATCTAGTGAATCTGTTTCATATCAATATTATGAATAAAGTTATTTTTAACAAGCACGACAAAACCAAGTTCCCGATTACAGAATCGGTAACTTTTAAACATGAGAAATTAGCTATCCAGGAAAATCCTCCTTCCATTTAACCAAGATCGATTTGTAGTGAATATTAACACTAGACATAATAAAAGTCCAATAGCCTATTAGTTTGCAACCAATAAGTTCAAAAAGTCTGTTTACAGAAAAAACCACCTATTTGTATAAAAACAGAAAACGTGATTATCATTTATTCAGTGTCCTAGGTTGTTCGGCTGTGATTTTTAGGTTTATGCGAATTATCGAACTAACTTTATATCAAAACGGTCAATCATAGTAGAAAACAAAGTTATTAGGATATTTTTATAAACACAGCATATCATCAACAATAAAAATTACGCGTATAAGCACAGCATTTTGCCCGTCACGTTTTGGCTTTTATGCGTCACAAGACTTCCCCTAACTGATTTCATTTTCAGAAGGAAATTTTGTGGAGATTTTAGTAATTTATATTGTTGAGATCATGAGTCAATTGAAGCTAGACCACCATGGAAAGCCTGGAAGCACTGGACGGTCGTTTTCGTCCTATTGTAGGACTCATCAGCGGTGAGCATCCACGATTCAGCCTTGCGGGATTCGAACCCAGGGCCTACTGGTTTCGCGCGCGAGCACTTAACCACTAGACCACTGAGCTGGTCGGCATCCAACAGTGTTAATGTCTAACTTCAACTAATCCACGAAATTGAGCAATACATCAAACATTATCATCAGTGAGTTACTATCTCACAACAGACCTGGTTGAACTCCACTGGTCACTGCTTCTCACTAGAACTCCAGGATAAACATCTTGAAGCCAGTCACTAGTGAGCATATGTTGATTATTATCATAAAGGGGTTTTGTGGAGATTTTAGTAATTTATGTTGTTGAGATCATGAGTCAATTGGAGCTAGACCACCATGGAAATAAAGTATTGGTTAAGTAGGTTTTAACTGGTAATTGCCTGTGTATTGTCTACGGAGTCATTACTGGTCATTTCACAGGTCGCTTGTTTGGTATACGCAACAATTTAGTACAATGTTACAACTGCATAAAGACAACTGAGACACAGTCATAAAAACTGTGTAAAAGTACATACACTTGAAACAACAGACGCTAATAACCTTAGTTTACAAAGTCGTAAACTAGTATTAAATAAATGCTCTGACACCCTACAGAAATCCATCAAAAAGTTAAGTAAGCCCAAGTTGACAGGTTATTCCTGAAGTTGTCCACCTGGGGCACTCAGTAAAGTGCAACTCGCGAGCTATTGAAACGAAGGCAGATTATACATACACTAGGTTTTGTTTTCTAATTACAGTCAACAACTCCATTCACGGTCGGTATCATTAATTGAACCAATTATGATATCAAATCATCTTTACAAGAACAAGCCCAAGCACAAATGATTGGTAAGAGACAAGCAAAACTAGTTATTGTACACAAAAAAGTATTTATATATTTTATATGGCAGTTGACATTACATATACACATGTAAAAGAAAATCAACGGTTTAAATACACGGTTTCATAAAATTATACAAATCTGCACATTGACAGATAATGATTAGAAACCTTTATGTATATAATGATAATAACCATAATTATAATATAAGAAATGGTTCCAAATCACAGACTGATCAAGTTTCCTCTCCACTATTTTGTTGTGAAACAAATATGATTAACATTGCTTTATCACTATCAATAGTAGTCTCGTCGAGGATTGTTCTAAAATAAATAACAATAATAACATTGATTAACTGAAGACAATAATGATTTACACATATTAAAAAAAGAAATAAAATGGCAAGCAAAAACCTCACTAAGTTTAACTAACAAGCCTTGGACAAAATAGTCGGAATTCAAAAAGTAGAACATTAGGTTGTTCCACTTTGCGTAAGTTGAGTTACAACGTCGTCAAATTCGATACAAGCCAAAGAGCTAATGATAATATCCCATTGCAGGTATGATTAAAACAGATTTAACCGAAACACATGCCGAAAATGCTTACATTATTGGTAAAGGTGAACAAAAGACTGCATTTTATCAGCAACTTCACCTAACAGGACTGCATCGTCTGCATTTTCCAAGTCAGCTAGCTACTCTCCAAGTAGGAGATCAAACCCCTAAAAGTCAGACGATGAGAGCGTTGTCTTCATAAGGATGTCACAAAAAGATTTCAGCCGTTTTTTATAGACTGGGATGGTCAGGGATCAAGACCAATCAGATGGCATTACATCCAGTCTTCAAATTCCATATAAGATCTCAGCTAATCTAACCGCTAAAACTGAACCATCATCCTTAAAAATCTCAGTAGTTAGTCCATCAGTCCCTGCTGCTCTCCATCGTTTTACATTACTTACAGCCTCTTCAACCTCATTAAGAGTTGGAGAACTCACATCAGTTTGTCATTCAGTTTATTCGGAGATGGTGGGTAACCCAGGTGTGGCTGAAGGTTAAGTGAACTGTTCCCTAAAGTGTTCTACCCATCGGTTCAGTTTCCTGAATTGAGAGTGAATAGTAGTCCCGTCGTTTCCCGAGATATTTTCATTAACAAACGGACTTTCAACACCCGTTTCCTTGATAAGACTGAAGAGATGACTACTGTTACCTATCGCTGATGCCTTTTCATCTCTTCTGCTTTCGTTACCCACAACTGCACACGAGCCCCAAATGCCCTCGTATGGCCGAGTGTGGTGGGCCCGCCCTCCCTCTCGAAATACTCTCATATGGCCATGCGTATACAGCCTCTGCCAGAGAAGTCCTACTCACCGCCTTCTCGTGGCATTACTGTTGTTTACGAAATGAGAGGACGAAAAGCGAATGTCCGGCGCTCTAACCGGATCCCAAACAAATGGTGCAGATGGGCTCCAGTATCCTGAGGGAACAAATGGCGTATGAACCGATCGTCGGTCACCGGCTACCATGGGACTGCATCTCCTCACGATGCTCCACTGCCCTGTGGGTCAGATATTTAGGTCAAAGGCTCGGAGTGTGGCGCCCTAAGAAAACCACCTGCTTCGGTCTGGGCACCCGGGCAGTATCAGCGCTCACACACAAAGAAAATGAAACGATGGGCAGAATTCTTCGAAGGGCAGTTCAACTGGCCTGTTGCTCCGGCAACATCGGTCAGACTGTCCTGCCCTCCATGGCCGGTGACGACTGATCCACCAAACGAGGAGGAAGTCCGCAAGGAACTCCAACTCTTGAAGCGTTACAAATCACCTGGCCCAGATGACTTACCTCCGGCTCTTTTTAAAGATGGTGGTGACTTTTTGACTAAGGAATTGACGACGTTGTTTACAAAGGTTTGGGAACTAGAGAGTGTACCAACGTTATGGAATGAGTCGATAGTTGTCCCTATCTTTAAAAACGGTTCACGTCGTTCCTGTAACAACTATCGGGGGATAAGTCTACTTCCCACTGCGTCCAAGCTATTGGCTTCCGTCATACTTCGTAGGTTGTTCAAAACCCGAGAAAGATTGACTCGCGAGGAGCAGGCTGGTTTTCGTTCTGGTCGAGGATGTATTGATCATATCTTCACCCTCCACCAAATGTTAGAACACCGTCATAGTTATCACAGGCCAACAATCGTAGTGTTTCTTGACATCAGGACTAACTTTGATTCGTTGAACAGGACTGTTCTCTGGAGAAAGACTTCTCGACCTTGAGTATGCGGATGATATTGTCTTACTGTGCGATAATGTCCAAGCCATGCAATCCACACTTAATCAGTTGGCAATCAATGTCCGTAGATACGGTATGTGCTTTGCACCTTCGAAGTGCAAAGTACTTCTATTATTATTATTATTATTATTATTATTATTATTATTATTATTATTATTACACTACCTTACACTAATCTGGTGGTTATTGTTTTCCTTTTTTTCTGTTACGCTCCTAACCTCCGTTTTTTTTCTCTTCCCATTCCCGTTGTTTTGTGTTGCGCATATATATTTGGTACCCTTTTGTACCAATATTTATGTCTTAAAATAAATAAAATAAATAAGTACTGCTCACGATCATTACGTAGGCTTTTTATCAACCTACATTTAAGATAACTCCGCTCCTTACCATGTTCTGAACCAGACGGGACGAAATTCCGAGCATCTATCAGTTCTGTAGACGCCACTGATATCTCTTCGCCCTTTTGATTTAATTTGCTGGTTGCTATCACTGCTATTTTCACGACTGTTCGCATAGCGTGTCAAAATGATTCAGTGTGGATATCACCTTCATGGTTGAGTAACTACATTTCTGGTCGATTCTAAAATACTTTTTCCATTCTTTTTTATCAATAAGTTGAATTGTGACGAGTATTCCTAATGTGTATTTTCTGTTTCCTGTAAGACACAGATAAATACGTCCTCACACTGGAGCGTGATCTGAATCCAAACATAAGCTCCAGAATGAGCAGCAGCTCTCTGTCGAGCCCCTCCAACGATGACTGATGGAAATGAGGTTTATTTGAGTTCATCGCTGAATCGATTGTAGGGGTCAATACGTCAGACGATGTCTCTTCTCATGTTTACAGTTTGTGTTTGCTAGAAATAGACGGTCATCTGAGCATAGTTGCAACAGACGGTCACCATTATCTGTTCTCTGAGCCGCGACACCGCAAGATCCGCCTCAGTGCCTTTCGGTTTGATTTAGTCTATCTACTTGAGAATTAAAACCACCTGGCGCTGTTACTCTAGATCAGAGCATTTGGCTTTTGATGGAGGTTTGATAGCTTTTTAGTGAGAGTATAAGCAGAGTCAACGAGAAAACAATGGCGCACAAGTGAGTCTATTGGAACCCAGTCTAACAGAGCCTGTTCTACTTTAGAACTTAATGATGTACCTAAACCAGCAAGGCTAAGAGGAATAGCAGTGGGGTCTCCAGACACTCAAGGTGAGGCCAAATGAATGACCGCACTCGAATCCTGCATGCGCGTTTCGGAGACATCACACATCAATGGCTCGAGATTCGAGAGTCCTAGCCAAAGAAGCCGGTTGTCCTATCTGACACAAGGTTCGAACATTGAAAGCTCCAACATGTAGTTTAGATAGTGGATTCAGGAGACCAGGAATAACACTTTGTCAACTCAAATCATTATTATTGGTGACACGTGGTGATAAAGATATACTATAAGGGTTAGTCATCGAGGAGACGTTAAGAGATGAGGAGGGGATTTGATGATGAACAATATGACACTGAGTGCTGCTAGGAACGTAAAGGCATTTGTCACTTCCCGGCTGCCCATACCATAGGATGATATTTTCTCTTGAGACTTGAAAAAGGACTGGAATAATGGTGGTTTTAACAACCCGGGAATATGACTGTAGAGAGCCCATGAGACAACTTGAGGCTGATCATATACGGCCTTTCTGAGACGGATTTGCATTGTGTTAGCTCCTTACTTTAAAAAGCCTTGCCGCCTATTACAGAAATCTGTGAGATGTGACATTTTTTGGGTCGACCTTTTCTAAGCTCTCTTTCGTTGTGTTAAGGTAGCATCGCTACAGATGCTGTTTGTCCGAAGGAAACACTTTGCTGCAATTACATCCCAGTACAGTTAGTGGTTCGAATTCGCCCTCGGACCCTAAGTCGCTGCTATTAGTCTTACCACTCTCCAGGTCAGTCAGTCACAACACAAAGCCTTTTACGTATCTACATCGGTTCACGTTCCCACACCTCATAAAGAAGGAGAGGTAAAATTATCAGCCCACAATTCTAGACTAGCACAAGTAGTAACAGCATTAGTGATAATAGAACCAACCTGCTTAGTACGATAAATTTTAAAGGAACAAGTGTTTCAGCAACTATAGCTCAACTGAGTCATCACGATAGACAAGTATGACTACCACATTACGGCAGTAGCTACGATTGGAGTTTTTCTACATCAATCAACTCCGTAGAAGACTCGTGCTTGTTATGATAGAACAATAGACTCAATGAAAACTCGAATGAATAGCCGTTGAACAGTTCAACAGCCGAAACTCGAATAAGAAAACTAAACAATAGAAACACTAATCAACTGACTGGAAACATATTAAGTATTGGTTTTTTCGACATTTAACCAAGAAAATGTTAAATGTTATGTATCAGATCTTATATAACTAGTCGAGGGTCAAAATGAGAAACAGTGAGTCTACACATCTGTCTGTTGCATCAGATTTCGAGAAAAAAAGCTACATCTCAATTCAATAAGAAAACATTAATTGTTAGACATCGGATCACTCTGTACAATGTAGATTGTAAGCTGGAAATAAAAAAAATCGTCGCTTACTATACTACACTTACCAAAGGATTTGGTCGAAACCGATAAGCTAACATCATACGTTTCCTGTATGCATCGTACTCATCATCTTCTTTTATTAATTTGGAAGGACGATCAATTCCTAGTCCTACACCATCAACGTGGACATTCCCCCTTTGAATAAAATTTCGGAAAATTTAACAAGTAATTGAGTGTTTAAACACAAATCTTTATCCCCATCCATTCTCAGAAAAAGATATTAAAAAGAACAGATCATGGTGAGAGGTAAAATTCTGGACTCACTTATTGACTGGATTAACAATACCTTGACCATCAATGCCAAGTCCTTCACCTTCTTTCCAACCCATTTTTTCTAACATTTGAAAACCGACATTTTCACAAGTTAACTTGAACTGTTTGTATTCAGAAAAATCCGGTTCCCGACCTTCTTTCAATGCCTAATTGCGAATTAAATAAATTCTAAAAACTACCTCATATTCAACGCAAAAATAAGCAATGTCTACGGTAAGCGAAAAAAACTGGAAAGAAGACTAACAGGAACGTAGTGCATTGAGAACTATCCAGTCAACATTTATTTATTCAATACGACACTCGAAATTCATTAAACACTGTCCGTGTGGATTCAAAGACATACTTATCCCTAGAGATTTTCAGTTTTGAAGCTTATCAATATTGAATGTGTTAATGTTAGCGGTCAAGCAGTCTGAGAGAGCAACATTCTCTCGCCTTGAAGTGAGAGACTCGTGCTTGGATCGTAACAGGATTTCATACATAGTTTTCATGCTGGAGAATGAAATGCTGAGCCAATCAAACATAAGTGGGAGATGGTGGAGAGATTTGTAGCTCAAGTGGATGATTCTGATGGGGTTTTGTTCTCTGAACTAGATGGTTTGGTCGTGGAGCTTTCATCGTTAATCTGAACGACATCATCTGTACGAACTTCAGGTAGAAGTGAAGTGTTCGAATTTCTCCACATATGGCTCACAGCTTGTTCTGACTACAGGACAAGCTGTGAGAGATGTGAACGAGCACAGTCTTAACTTTCGGAGGAAAAGACATAAGTTGTTGACTGAAAATCTGCTTTTATTTCCTGAGGGAGATAGGTACATATTTATGAATGAGTTGCGCATATGTTTTGATTTAGGTTAGCCAATAAACTTTCTCGATTTACCTTTGTTTTGCTCACTCGGATGTAGGATGCGCATACATCACTAACAAACTCATACAACCACAGAGTATGACAGAAACATATTCGTGAATCGAACTCTGTTGTGTACAATAATAATTCATAGATTTAAAGAGTAATTGAAACAGAATCGGACTAACCTAGATCACGTTTCGTTCCAGGAATATTAGCATTAAGTGTTGTTGACTTAGCTTTTCATTATTTTGAAAAGCGAATGAACCCGCAGGAATTTTTGCAATATGAGGCAGAATTTTTTTAGTTAAACCTATCAAAAAGTCACTGAATTTACCAGCCCTCAAAACGGAAGGTGACGATTCAAGATTTGCGTCTTATGTAAATTCGTTGAAAGGAGCTACTGTTATTTCCCCGCTTTTCTTCCTATTAATGATTTCTACTCTGGATTATAAACTGCTTGTAATTGTGTTGAATAAAGCGTTGTCTAGCCTGTACAATGGTGCTCTATTTTATGTCGTTAAGTGTATACCCGATTATGATCCCATTTGTACATAGCGTATCGATCGAATATCGAGGTTTGGTCGTGGTACAATCTGGGTCACCAGTTTTATACCATTATTATAGCATGGTAAACATAAAATATTCGTATTCTGTCGTTATATTAACTATTAAAGTCTATTAGGTATCGACATATACAGGATGTGTAAAAACAGAAAAGAAAAATAGGATTCTTTAACAGCTGTTCCGATGGCCATGAAGGTGAACACCCAAAGTATTCGATTTTATCAAAAGAGAAACGGTCCCAACGTTTGTTGAGTTTCTCCTGTTTTACAAATACGTCATCAACAGTCGAGCTGTTCGTGCCTTTATGACGGTTGATTCCCGTGATGACATGTGCAATAACTGAAGCATATTTTAATACATATGAGAATAATAATTATGCAACTTACACGGAAAGTTTCCATGAAACGCTCTAATTCGTCCGGTGGTAGAAAGTCCCCAATATGATGCTTTCCATGACCCATTTCAGTTAATTTCTGAGCCCATTCTATAAATTAAATAAAGATGTAAGAAACGAGTAGTGTGGATAAATAAATCACAAAAATCTACACAAAATGTTATGTGAATAAAAGGCTAAAAATATTCTATGAAAGGAACTTTACAATTTAAGACAGAAACTGATCGAAATAAAATACATATTAGATTAATCATATTTCGAATTCTATGGGAGCAACACGAATATTTGCAAAAAGATGTACAGTGTGTGCATTGTTGCCTTATCATAAAATGAAAGATGAACAGTTTAACAGGACTTTACTCGTTACTTATCTCACTTCGCGATCTACTCCTCTCTAATACGTTTTCTTAAAAGTTTGTTGATTCAATTGTTACTTGATAATGAGCACAGTTTAGTAAATTCTTGAGATAAACTATGCGAGGTTGGTCTTCACTCTTTTTCTTATAATCCTTATTATCCACGACCTTTATGTATATTCATAATCCCATTGTTTCACTAACCAGATCCGTAGTTGTACAATATTTTGAAACAGAAATCTACTTATTCTAGGTTACTATTTGTACACAAAGTACCTACCATTCTAAGGTTTACAAAATATATCTAAACTATACATCTCAACTACAGGAAACTGAACATCCACTGGGAGTACAGAAAAAAAATTACCTCGGGTTGCCTCCATTTCCGCTTGTCTTAATTTATGCTCCCATGTTCCATTTTCACAGTCCTCGTCGGAATCATACTCATATTTGATAACTAAACCATCCTTCGTAATTCTTGTTTTATTTCCATAATTTACACCCTCAATTCGATTCATAAGTTCTTCCTCTTTAGACTTTGATCGTTTTTGTGCTAAAATAAACTCTTGCATAGCTTGAAGCTGAGGAAATGACAACGTATAAAGATTAGTGTTAATTTGATTGCAAATTACTAATCGAATCAAGAAGAATTATTGGAATAAAGTATTGGCAACAGATGAGAACTTTTGGTAAATTTTTGAAAAACCATCAAAGACAGAACTGAATAGTTAATTCACCTAGTTATGTGACTTTTTAGCATTACGCTCATAATTTCACCATATCATATTTAATCACGTGGTTACACCGTTAAAATGGTGAGCAATGAATAATTGAGTTAGATTATAATAGATGATATATCTAATTAAGATATCTTCCAACTTACTGACGATCAAATGTAAGATGGCACAAAAACGAATAGGCACTAGAGGACTATAAATGACTATAGTCAGTCGACTGCACTAGTAAGTTAGTCAACTACACACAATGTAGAACCAAGACTAGTAAGCGAAATCAATATTATTTCAACAAACGATAGTTTTGAAAGCTACAAGATAAACCATGTTAAGTTTAATTCGTACCTCATATTTAATTGTTTAGAATATATATTGCTGACAAAATGTATTTGATTTGTAGGTTTCATTCATAATACCTAAATAGAAGGCTGATATTTTGGTATCAGTAGTTTGAAATAAGTCAAGTAAGAGAGCATTTCAAGGGAAATTTCCCTAATCTCCCCACGGGTGAACAAGTAACGGTAACCTTTTTCTTCAACTGTGACCACATAAACGTCAAGTTTTACGAAGTATCGATTTTAGGACGAAGGAGAAGACATTATTAATCTTGAATCAAAATTGGATACAGATGAGAGAGATAATTATTAATCACCGTTCTATAAATCAATAAGGGACTACTGGTGTTAATTGTGAAAGGATATGGTTAAACTATGATCTAGAGCAGACAATAATAGCAATGTACTCCAAAGCTTCACTACGAACCAGAAAAAGAGTATTTCAAATTAAAGGTGCAAGAGACTCAACCAAGGCTCTAATCCAAGACGCTCAAAAGGCTCACCACCTTGCAAGCATTTTCACTAAAACAGGCATGTGATCTGCGCACTACGAAGCGTTTATACAAAAGACCGACGACTGCAATGCATGTGATCGCCATTTCACCAATATTTATAAGTATTTATCTATCTTTATTGACCAGAACTTGATACACTATATTTTCCGACTTCTAACTGTTATTACTAGCATAAAAAGTTGTAAAGATTGATGAATCCTGTAGTTTTACTTCTCTTGTTAACTAATGCTACCTTTGGTGCAAATAATGTCTATCTATATATCTATCGAACAGTGGGTATACAACATTCTAACTTGTGTTACTTCCCAGCTGTGAAGTATGGCTTTCGAAATAGACGAAAGTGAATCGTAAGTACTTTATCATTTATGTTTTTAAAGTACTGTTTTTGCATGGCAGAATCTCAAGATGAGTGCTACTGATGTTATATATAGACTAGAGACTGGTGGATCCTTTCTTAACATGGATGTATGCAGCACTGTTTTTCCCACAAACGCAAACAAAGCTACATTGGTTTCACCGGACCACACTACAGAAACCTAATCGATATCCGTATCAATAACAAATTTGGAGGGTTTAAGAAAGACGTAAGAACAAATAAACTCATTTGGCTTCAGATTATCATTTGGTGGCGGACAAGTTGGGGAAGCATTGGACTATTGGACAAGCAGTACTAAAACATTTAGCACAGTTTTCCTTCCATATGCTCACAAGCTCGGTGAACTTAAGATAGGTCTCAGCAACAAGTTCCAAGCCTTACAAGACCTACTCACAGAAGAGATGTTGTGACTGTGGACTGCAGAATTAGAGCGCAGTGTATTATCGATCGGACCAAAGACGCGTAAACACGTAAGAACTACCTAGAGTTCTGATTGGTCCCGCTTCCCTGTCTAGCCCAGCCAGTTGAGTCCAAAACGCAAGTCTCAGCCTTTGAGATATGAATCATTATATTTCAAACATACTCTGTTTATATACCAATCAAGCAGACCACATCGTACTATAAAATAGAAAATAACATTGTACAATATTGACCAGTAGGAAAACGACACGTGAAATAAATACTGACCAATAAGAAAATAATACCATCTCAAGTCCAAGGATAGCATTAGACTTAACAGAATAATCTTTGGGATATTTTTCTGAATATCCCAACAAGAGGAAACCATTATGGGAAAATGGAAAAAGATTAAAGGAAGGATAACTTTAATATATCTGGATATGGTGGCATCCTAAAAGCACTAGAACATCGAAAAGGTCTCCGTCGACAGCCCGGATGGCGTTCCAGAACGGCGAGGCAAGAAAAGTCAATAACAGCCAGACAGAATCAGAGCAAGTCAAGGCACAAGTTGAAAATACGAAAGTAAATAAAAGACGATTGAAAAGCATTAGAGTTGGGAAGAGGAAATATGTATAAGACCTAGCAATGACAGCACAGGCTGCAACAGAAATAAGTTTGTAAACCATATGATACGACCAAGAAGTGAGAGGGGAAATACAGTAAACAAGAGCGACCAGTCAATAACAAGAAAGGGAAATCAATAACTGAGGTTCAAGAGCAGTCAAACAGGTAGACAGAGTACTTCCGTAAAGCACTTGAATAGATCAGGTATACCGAACCCCCAAAAGCATCAGAGAATAAACAGACCTCCATTTATACGGTGCTCCACCAACAATACAATAGAATATATCTGGGTAGCATCATTTATAAACAAGGAGAATCTGGCTCCGATGTGACGGCACGAATTGAAAAAGCAAGGGTAGCATTACTACAATTGAAGAATATCTGGAACTCTAAACAGCCGTCACACTCAACAAAAGTCAGAATTTTTAACACAAGCATTAAGAACGTTCAATTGTACAATGCTGAAAATTAGAGAACTGCTACGACTATCATCCAGAAAGCACAAATATTTATAAAGTTAGTTACCCAAAATACTCCAAATCTGTTTGGCTAGAAGCTATCGACAGTAACTTACTGTGTCAGAGGACAGATCAGCTACCAGTTAAGGAGAAAACCAGAAGACGATAGGACTGGACAGGGCAACATATGAAAACCGTTGAACTACGCCACAATGCAAGCTCTAACTTGTAATCTTCAAAGCATGAAGAAAAGTCATACCAAAACATACGTGGTGCTAAGAATCAGAAATAGACATCAGAACAATGAATAGAACTTGCCAAATACTAAGAAGGAGAGCTGAGGATAGAGACGATTCGAGACCCCTTATCGATGGCCTAAGGCCCATGAGGGATAGAGAGTCTAGGTAAGATCAGTTTGACAAGTGTAGAAAATTGAACAATCAGAAATGAAAGTAGGACAATTTTTGGTTACCATTGCTGAACAGTCTTCAAAGCGAGTTGAAATTAGACGATCTCCATTGGCGATAGTGGAGTTTGTTACTAATATCGTAGGATTTCGTGAAATTAAGGAACATGAAATCTGAAGACACTGGTGCAGAATACTATACCGTTTAAAATGTATTCACTCATTAAAAGGAATACCACTAAGTTATATTATTTAGGGACAAATCAAGTTGCGGGTTTACCCAAACCATAAACGTCGCTAAAAACAAAGCTTTGATTGTTAAAAATAATACATATCTTAGAGAACTGATATAAACATGCTGTAACTGACAACGTACTTCCTTTTGATATCTTATTTGTTCAGCTTGCTCAGGTGTAAGTACAACACCGCCTGTGAACTGATTTGGATTAGAAGTAGTTCCTAAAATCAGCAAGCACATTGTATCAATAAATAGAGAAAACACCAACTCAGAGACAAAAATAAAGCATCTTAGTCTATTTACAAAGCAAATACTTTCACATGAAATCAAAATAAATGAATTTCCAGATAAATTTACTTGGACATTAACTCTTCAGACCTTAGGTTACAAAGCTCAAACTTAGCAAGAGAGGGAAAGCAGCATATAGTGATTGGTTGACTCTCGGAGTCATGAAAGTTAAAAGTAGTTCCATGCAGTCATTAGGAGTTGGTAACCGAGCTAGTATGTGAGAAAAGATAAGGATTTTCTTCGGATGACCAAAGAGACATTAGTTTGACTGGTATGGCTTCTAAAATATCAGCTTACATAATAATGAAGTGTTTTACTATAGTCTAAGAACAATAAACACGAAGAAACCAGAGACATTTAGTAACTATGTGAATGTATAGACTAAATATTTACCATTCGAGCCGTGTAGAAAGTGATTACCTACATACGCAATTCGAAAACAATCTCGAGGCTCCTGACACAGTTTAAGCTTGACCAAGGTCAGAACAAGTAAACTAGCTGGCTTGATAGACCTTATCTGTTTCTAAAACGTAAATTAACACAGTCTATTAAACAGGGGAAATATAAATATAAATAACATACCAAACAGAAACTGGGCGACAGGAAAAATGAGTCAACAAAACTTAAAACCGTTTATGACAAAGATGAAAGACTGTAATTAGTGAATAAACATGGTCTATTCGCATAAAGTCAGAGAAAGTCATGGTGGAGCGCTTAATGCTACCATTGGTGAACTAGTTTATCGACCACGACTTACACTCCTCCCGAAAAGCCAATCACCTCGATCATCCTGGATTATCAGAGTTAAAAAATGGCTTCTCTAAGTATGTGTAGATCTCATACATCTCGAACTATTTCTCTAATTGTCATCCTCAACTTCGCCGTGCGGACCCATCCGTCAGGACCATAGCTTCCTCGCTCGACAATGGCTTTAGGTCATAGACTCCCACTTGCTTCAATTTTGTAAACGAGTAATAAATTGCTTGTTTGTAATTGTTTTCATATGTTCAACAATTTATACCTCACTTGAATGGTAGGCAGATATTCTCGTATTCGTTTATCCCAAAACACGGTAGTTAACATCTGTGCTTCCTCAGATCTATTATATAATAAAGTTTTGTCGATGAATGCTGGTTCAAATGATAATATTTTATAAATCAACAACGACTTATTCGAACTAAGCGTCTCCAGGGTGCCAGAGTTATATGTGACCTTGATGTATCTCCATTCGTTTGGCGTGGATAACTCATATATAGTTGCTAACCTATAACTCACAAACCTTTCAAACCTTTTAGTCGTACCTTTTATATAATGAAGCACGACCAGCGAACATGTCCAATAAGTGACCGAGAAAATGGGGGTATTTAGCTGTCCTTCTACATGCTTCCTAATCTTAGCGCATAGCACGCAGACCGTTAGCTCCATTCTAGGTGTCATAACAAGTTCCAAGGAAAATATCCTAGACTTAGCCAGTGCAACTGTAGCGTTTCTGACTCCAGACCAGAGGGTTGTGTTCAAATCACGTCGGGCTCAGCAATTTCTCTCCTTCAAATGTCCTGGTACGATCGATGGTGAAGACAGTTTACTCTCCTCGAATCGCTCCCACATGACCGCACGTACGCAGCCACTGTCAGGGAAGTCCCTCTCACTGCCTTCTCGCGGCGGGGGTGTTGTTTACGAAAGTGAGTGAACGAAAAGCGAATTTCTGGTGCCTTAACCGGGTTAGAGGACCCACCAAGGGGAATAAAACCCTGATTCCAAACCAATGGTGCACATAGGCTCCAGGATCCTGAGGCAACAAATGGTGTATGAACCTATTGTTGGTCACCAACTACCATGAGACTTTACCTCTTAACATTTATCAACTGTCTTGTGGATTAGACCTTTAGGTCAAATGCTCGAGATGTGACATCCTAAGAAAACCACGTGCTTCAGCTTGAGCATCCAGGCAATATTCCAGACCTCACACAAATCGAGTGATTTTTGTGGTGCATATATATTTGGTTCATCCTTGTACCAATGTTTGTTTAAATAATAAATAATAATAACAGCAGAAATGAGCAGTTACTTCGATTAGAAACTATCATAACGAATAGATGTGATAACACCATATGCAAGCTCGGAAGTATCAGCGAAACAATGAATTTGAACAGATAATGGTTCAAATTTTGGTTTTAGATATCTTGGTATTAAGGCACTCAACTCTTTTATATGCCTGCACCAAATGCTCCACTTCGTTTGACAATCAATGGGTAGCTCTACGCCTCAGTCTAGTTTCTGTTGACAGATATCTTGTAAGATCATTTTGGCTGGCAATACTATTGGAGCTATAAACCGAATCGGATCAAAAATAGATGCTACATACGAAAAAGTAATTCTTCTGGTTGAGTTTCTATGAAATGCATGGACTTCGAAATACAATTCGTCAGTTCGGACGTTTAACTCCAGCATTTGTTTACTTGCCTCGTTGGACTCACAAACGGAAGTGTTGCCTTCAATACGGTCTTCCTCTAGAATGAACTTAAGCACTGTTATTAGTCCATTTAGTTAGATCCTCCTACGCTTAGAACGCTTTTGAAATGTGAATATATCAATTGGGCTTCTCATATAGTCTCCACGACTATCAATAAATCGTCCACATAGAACTGTCCCTTGGATGCTTTCGTAATACATTTGAGGAAATTACCTTGATGATCATAAGCCGTTTTCTGCAAAGCAAACGTAGCTCAGTATGGCGATGAGGTTGCTCTGAACAGATGGAGTTTCATTATATAGACCTCTGGCTCCTTTCTAAGTCCCCTACTGACCACCACAAATACCTGAATGTTTGGATCGTGTAGCGGAACTACTACTTGGTGACACATGGCTGTAATGTCCACCATAAGACTTATTAGTCGTCGCCGAAACCTGGTCAAGATATCTACTAAGTTATTGATTAAATCAGGTCCAGAATCAAGATCCTTGTGTCAAAGACGTCCCGGCATACTGAGCTGTACAATCGAACACAATGCTTAACTTGTTGGGCTTCTTGGGATAGAAAGCAGGGTGATGAGCAAGATACCAAATTCGATCATCGATTTGGTTATCCTTTACCTTTTTTAGCATAATGCCGTCCTACATGCCGAGTCATAGTGATGACATAATCTTGAAGTAACTTCTCATCCCAACTAAGTCGATCCTTAAAACAGCTAAGTCTACTGTTACCAGGTAGTTCACGTTCATATTGCTGAAAACAAAAAAGAAATATAAGTTTGATAAAGTTACCTTGAGTTTTTGCAGCAGCTGCAGCAGCTTTTGCTAGTGCAATCGCAGAAGCCAAAGAGCCATCCGGGAAATCTTTTACTGATCCATTTATTTTAGGTTCATTGGTTTCTTCGTCCCATCTGGAGCGACGTCTTTTGGTGGGGATAAATTCATCAATTTCTGATTTGCAATTATCTACAGTTTCAGGTTCTAAGACAAAAATGTGTTATTGAACATGAAGTTCTAAATAAACTGTCACTAAATACTAATTGTTAACAGCACATCTAGATCAAATGCTTTAAAATAAATCTTACATTCAACCACATCTGGAAATCAGTGAAAACCTATTACCTAACTTAAATAAAAAAATAAGTCTGATAATAGCAATGACCCATTGTTTTTCACAATCTTGAGATGGTGGGGAAGATTTGCAGCTCAGGTGGATGATTTTGGTGGAGTTTTGTTCTCTGAGCTGGATGGTTTGGTCGTGGAGCTTTCATCGTTCTACCTGAAGTTTGTGCTGATGATGTCGTTCAGAAGAACGATGAAAGCTCCACGACCAAACCATCCAGCTCAGAGAACAAAATTTTCACAATCTTCCACACGATATATAACCCTAGTGTGAGACTTACGACATCCGAGAAACGTGTATCACTTCGAAAACATAGCTAAGACAACAAAGTAGTTTTATATCTGCTTAGATTCCCAAACAACGCAGTAGTTAAATAACAGTTCTCACATTTTTAATGACAATTTGAGCTCGACTAAGTACTCATATCGTTATTCTATATAAGAGAGAATCTAAGATGACAAGTAGAACAGTAGATACCAATAAATCAAGATAACAAATACAAGCATAGTCATTGTAATAGACAGTGAATCTTATGTAGTGAGTGGTCTTGGCGGGAAAAAACAATTTATTTTATGCAAAATTACGCAGTCATTAAAAAGGAAGAATGTATTTGTAAAATCTCAGCGAAAGAATTTGAAGTAATTCCAACGTTTCGCCTACAATGTGGCCCAAGCTTTTTCAAGGAAAATATAATCAAACAACAAAATTATCCAATATAAATAAGTAAACCGAAGAACCATGTACCTATTTATATTCGATAACTTTGTTGTTTGATTATATTTTCCTTGAAAAGCTTGGGCCACATTGCAGGCGAAACGTTGGAATTACTTCAAATTCTTTCGCTGAAATCTTACAAATACATTCTTCCTATTTAATGTCTCACATTAACTCGACGCCCAAATATTGTGAAACTATTCGTTCAAATTTAGACGAAAGTTCTTATTTAAAATTACAGTGTTTTTGGAAAATATGAAACTCATACATTAAATATATTATTTGCACATTTTCAGCTGTCCTGTACATACTTCTTCCTACTTCCAATTCAGTTTTTATTCTAATTTCTCTCTGTTACCCTTTCTCTTCTATTTATTTCAATCTTCTGCTGGCAGATATTCTAGTTCCGATTGAAGCTGCTACCTTGACGCGGTGGTCGGGCTTGCCTATCGTGATGACCCAACCGAGCTATATTGGCTGGAACATATGTTCCTGTAGGTTCTACCATGCCAGGCAGGTCGATTGGTGAACGGTAAGACTAAAAGCAGCAACTCAAGGTCTGAGGGCGAAGTCGTACTGCTGACTGTAGAGGGTGTGACAGCAGTAAGGTGTTTCCTTCGGACAACCAGCATGACAGCGATGCTGCCTTCCCACAAGGAGGGGTGGGGTTAGAAAAGGTCGACCCTAAAAATGTCACACCTCACCTTACCTCACGGATTTCCGTCTCCGGCGGTAAGGCCCTTTGAAGAACGGAGCTAACACGTCAAAAACCTTCCACAAAAAGGCCGTGCGCGACCGGCCTCAAGCAGTTGTCCCTTGGGCTCTGCGGTCACGCTCCCAGGTCGTCAAGACCAACACTAATCCAATTTCCTTTTCAGGTTCCTCAAGAAATACCCTTCCACGGTGTGGGCAGCCGGGAAGTGACATCAGCCCTCATACCCGTAACAGCACAAGAGACCAAGGTGGTCACATTCAAATCCTTCCTACACCTCCTAATACCTCTCTTATCTCCATGACTAACCCTCCTCACGTCTCTTTATCACCTCGCACCGCTAGGGCAAACGATTCGAGTACGTGGAACGCCATTCCTGGTCTCCTGAAACCACGCTCTAAACTACACGTAGGAGCTTTTAACGTACGAACACTTTGCCAAATAGGACAGCAGGCTTCCTTAGCTAAAACTTTAGAATCTCGCGCCATCGATGTGTGCTGCGTCTCCGAAACGCGCATACAGGATCCAAGTAGCGTCATTCATTTGACCTCACCATGCCAAAATAAAGAACCGACTCGATTTACGCTTCGTGTATCTGGAAGCCCTGATTCTGCTTCCCGTGGCCTCGCCGGCGTAGGTATAGCATTGAGTCCTAGGGCAGAACTAGCTCTCTTAGAGTGGATCCCAGTAGACAGTCGTTTGTGCGCTGTCCGACTGAACGGAACAGTAAGAATCCGGAAAGATAGGGACACTCGTCGTTGCCTCTTCGTCGTCTCTGCCTATTCTCCCACTGACTGCAGCTCAGATGATGTAAAAGATGAGTTTTACAGAAAGCTTTCGGACCTTCTCCGAAAAGCTAGGCGCTCGGATGTAGTAATAGTGGCCGGTGACTTTAATGCTCAAGTAGGTAAACTAAGCGATAGGGAAAGACACCTAGGTGGATCTTATGGTGTCGTGGCTCAAAGAACAGATAATGGCGACCGTCTGTTGCAGCTATGCTCAGATAACCGCCTGTTCCTTGCAAATACTAACTTTAAGCATAAGGAAAAACATCTTTTAACATGGCGACCCCCTAATTCGTCCCAACGTTGGACCCAAATAGATCACATCGCTATCAGCCACCGATGGAGGGGCTCGATAGAAGACTGTCGCTCATTCTGGAGCACATGCCTAGATTCAGATCATGCTCTAGTGCGAGCGCGTATTTGCTTGCGTCTTACTGGACGTAGGAAAGACGCTGCAAGGAAACCTCTTAGGGCCCTACTTAATGATAGTCAAGCTAAGAGTATATTTCAGGAACAACTAGGAAAACAGTTAGGCAGCCATGTATGTGATGCCCACCCCGATGCAGCATGGAATGATATCCGAAAAGCTGTGGAAACAGCAGTGATATCTGCTAGTAAGGTAAACCAGAAGGTTAGGGAGCAACACTGGATCTCAGCAGCATCTATCGCACTGATAGATGCTCGGAAACTCATTCCACCTGGCTCTGAACATAATGAAGAGCGGAGTCAGCTTAAGCGCAAGCTGACAAGAAGTCTACGCAATGATCGCGAACAGTGGTGGGTAGCGAAAGCAAGAGAGATGGAAAAGGCAGCGGCAATAGGTAATAGCAGACAATTGTTCAGACTCGTTAAGGAAACCGGAATTAGGAACCCGACCGTTAGCGAAACAATCTCAGAGAAAGATGGACATATTATTCATTCTCAATCCAGGAGATTGGATCGATGGGCAGAACACTTTAGGGATCAGTTCAACTGGCCTTCAGCCACACTTCGGTTTCCCACGATCTCCAGTCAACCTGAATGGCAAGTTAATGTAGGTCCTCCGTCTCTTTACGAAGTTGAAAAAGCCATAGGAAATCTGAAACGAGGGAGAGCAGCAGGCCCTGACAGGTTTACTCCTGAGATTTTTAAGGATGGTGGTCCAGTATTAGCAATGAGATTAACTGAGGTCTTAGGTAGAATTTGGGAACTGGACGTAATCCCATCTGACTGGTCTCAATCACTGATTGTGCCAGTCTATAAGAAAGGACAAAAGTCCTCTTGTGACAATCACAGAGGAATCAGTTTGACTAATATAGTGTCTAAAATATTAGCTTCAATAATACTTCGACGCCTAACAAAGCTCGTGAAGAGCAGACTAGAGAAAACCAGGCTGGTTTTCGACCTGGACGTGGTTGTATAGATCAGATATTCACACTACGTCAGGTTCTAGAACACAGACACACATTCAGACGCCCCACAATGGTAGTATTTCTCGACCTTAAGGCGGCATTCGACTCTGTTGATCGTGAGGTTCTATGGCAGTGTTTGTCACTGAAAGGAGTACCAAAGAAGTACATTAACCTTATAAAGGCTCTCTACTCGAACACAACTGGTAGAGTGAGAGCTTATGGCGAACTGTCATCAGAATTGATTACCTCAAGTGGTGTTCGTCAGGGCTGTCCACTCTCCCCATTCTTGTTCAACTTTGTCATTGACGTACTTTTAGAGATAACACTCTCCTCATCTAAATTTACAGGGGTTGAACTTCTACCGGGAGGTTCACTTGTTGACTTAGAATATGCTGATGACATAGTTTTATTTGGTGAAGACGCTGACAAAATGCAGAGTCTTCTGACCACTCTAAGCAACAATGCAAGCATGTTCGGGATGCGATTCTCTCCCTCGAAATGCAAAATGTTGCTTCAGGATTGGGTTACATCGACACCCGAACTAGTGATAGGGAGTGAAGTAGTTGAGTGTGTCGACCGCTTCACTTATCTTGGAAGTCTCATCAGCCCTTGTGGTCTGGTGTGTGACGAAATCTCAGCACGGATACAGAAGGCTCGACTAGCTTTTGCCAACTTGCGTCATTTATGGCGTAGGCGAGATATCCGTCTATCAACCAAAGGACGGGTTTACTGCGCAGCAGTTCGTTCCGTCCTACTTTATGGCAGTGAAACATGGCCGGTAAGAGTAGAGGATATTCGTAGGTTACTAGTATTTGATCATAGGTGTCTTCGAAACATTGCTCGTATATCATGGGACCATCGAGTAAGTAATGCAGTTGTTAGGAAACGGGTACTAGGTAAGGATGGCAAATCAATTGATGAAGTAGTGAAACTTCATCAGTTGAGATGGCTGGGACACGTGTTACGTATGCCCAACGACCGACTGCCTCGACGTGCTATGTTCAGTGGTATAGGAGTAGGTTGGAAGAAAGCTAGGGGCGGCCAAACCAAAACATGGCACAAGTCCATGAAGTCACTGACAAGTGGTCTGAGTCATGTCGGTAGGTATAGACTACCTGGTTGGGGACCGCGAGATGATAGCAACCGATGGTTAGAGACCCTGAATGACATGGCTCCAAATCGTTTGCAATGGCGCAGGTGCATACACTCTCTGTGTTCTCCCAAATTTTGATCTCCTTATTCCTCCTTGTCTTTTTTTTTCTCCTCTCAAATTTATTTCACTGTATTATACTCTTTAAGTAACATCTCCAAACACTAATCTTCCCGATTACTGCTTATACTCTTATTACCTCTACTACTACGGGATTTGAATCGACCACTGCATCTCTATGCTAATGTGGTGTGGCAACCCGAACTGATGTACGTACGTACGAAGTTCTACGTTGTTACTGACTGACTGACTGACTGAGTTCCGATTGCTGCTATATACTACTTATATCTGTTAGCATAAACAACATACACCACACATATCGGTGATTTCATTTACACCGATGTCGCGCTGTTGGCTTGACTCAGATTGCAAAGACCAGATTTTTGAGTGTTTTTTTATTTAATTCATTGAATGCCATTAAACCCATCAAATATTAGTATTACTGGTGAACGTTAAGTCATGTTTATGGCAGCTACAAGGACAGTACCAAACAACTAGTTAACATAAAGCTTGCTATTACAGTAAAAGCAGAGCGTCTAACTTTTATGTATTCTTATCTTTTATAATTTTCAAACGAAGTACGTATTCATAGTATACTGAAGTTTGATGAAGACGCTGATAAAATTCAGTTTTTCCACCACCTTAAGCAACATTCTAGGGAAGTTTTGGATACGATTCTCTTCCTCTAAATGCAAACTATTGCCTCAGGACTGGCCTGCGCCTGTCCCTTAATGATAGGGAGTGAAGTAGTTAGACGCGTCAACTGCCTTACTCACCTTGAACGTTCCACTAGCTCTAGTGAGTTGCTGTTTGATGAAATTACGGGACGGATTCCAAAAGCTCGGTTGGTCTTTGACAACTTACGACTCTTTTAGCGTAGGCGAGATATCCGTCTGCCGACAAAAGGATGGGTTTACTGAGCAACATTAAGCACTGATCTATTTTTCAGGTGTGAAACATGGTCATTAGGAATAGAGGATATTCGTAGATTACTATTATTCGATGAAAAGAGTCTTTGAGATATAACCCTAACACTTTGAGACCACAGAGTGAGCAATGCTGAGGTTAGGAATAGGGCACCTGGCAAAGGCGACATTTGGTTGGTGAGGTTGTTGGTCTTCATCAACTGATGAATAGAACACTTATTACGTATACCTAACCACTGCCTAACTTGACGAATGACGCTCACTGGTGCAGAAGTACGTTGGAAGAACGCTAAAGGCGGTTAAGCCAAGACGTGGCATCAGGCTACAAAGTCACTGGAAACTGGACTGAACCATGTAGACATGTGTAGATCAACTATATTGACAAATGGTCAGACTTTTCGTGACATGGCTCAGGATTGTTCAAAATGACGTGGGTGCATTCACATTTTGTCCTCCCTGATAACCGGAGTCCCATAATCTGCTTATACTTTTCCGTTCTTTTTAATACCGAATCTTTTATACTACTTGTACTGCTTCTACTTTACTACTCCGGAATTCGACTTGACTTTATCACCCTGTGTTGTAGTATAGCAACTTGGACTAAACATGTTAGATTCTATATTGTACACGACTGACAGTGATACAAGGATTAAAATATTGAAAACAAACATTTCAATACAAAAATAAAAGCGTAAATAAGAGTTAGCCTATTTCCAGGTGATATTTAAAGTGATTCATTTTCGAGTGTTATTAATTCCAATGATTGTTATTTTTTCACATACTTTGACAAAATCTGACCATAATGAATCCAAACTTGGTGTAGTTTCAACTTTGATGCATGATATACTAATAATGTAGTTCCGCACAATCGAGTTGGATTTATTTAACTTATTCTACTCTATGCTGCCTCCACTTAATCGATTCTCTCAACGGAGAGTGTTCCGACACACATAAACGATATCTCAACATATAAAGACTTGGTTTTGCCACATTTTTGATATTATTGTCTAGTCAAAACGTGTCTGGCTCATTCTTGTATAGTGGTGATTTGTTTACGTGACCAGTACTTTAGACAAATTGGTGAAAAAATTCATAACATTTTCTTACGTTTTTTCTTAGGCAACCTTACTACGACTGAATAGTTAACGAAGCCAAATTACTATCTACCCCAAACTCGACCCAATTTGAGGGCGAACATTTGAATAATGCAGAAAGACAAACCGAAGAGTACGAACTGATCACTTTATAGCAGTGAACAAACTTTCATGGAAGGGAAATCAAGGAGACAAGACTAAGAGGAATGGAATGATCGGCATCACATATTATTTTAATTCTGAAATGAAAACGTTCTTTAGAATAACACTTCGTATTTTTAAAATAAACAGTGGGTTTTTACATTCCGATCCCTTCCCAAAGCACTAATCATAGTTTCGAAAATGACACATGAACACCAGGACAAATAGCTTTGCATTTTGACGTCATTAGTCCCAATCGTTTGCAGTATATCTACATTCGATTAATATGCCATAAAATTATCTGATAGTCTTAGTCACTATGATAGGAAGTTACGACTGCACAACATAGAAACTTGCATATTCCCGCGAGCTTCACTTCCTGAGCCTATAAACGGGATTTTCGATACAACGAAATAGTTGAGTTTTTGAATGAATTAACTTTAATTTACAACTTTTACTAGTTCCTGTGAATAACCTGCCTTTTGTCATGAACTATACAAGTGACTGACTATCTTACCGTATTGGGCTCCTAAGGACAAGTTTCTAGCCGAATCTATTTTGGTGTAAGCGGTTGAGATCACTAGCACTCACATGGTGCAGTCTTGGGCAACGTGCGTAAACACGTACTTCGAGAGGTACATTATTGAGTAAATTACCAAGCCACGACTATGAAGTGACCTAAAATATAACGTTTATAAACACTGCACCAATTAATTTTCACGATATTTATGAATTTGATAATGCAGCTCGTGAACTGTACAGGCCCGCCGGCTGTGTATCATGGCAAAGATAAATCAAAATACGGTAAACACGAACTTACTGACTGAACTACTGGGTGTCTTTTGCTTACGAACATCAGCCAATCTTTTTCTAAAGAACTTGTATTCATTAGTCTCTGGAAGCGTCAGGAACCTAAGAAAACATGAATTAGGATCACGAAAACTAACGTACCAATATTGTATGCTATCCTCAAACTTCTTTATTTCTGCTTCGCAAAGACTGTGGGACATACCAGAAACACGTAGGACCAACGATTCGATTGCCACCAAAACCTTTGAATCATCGGGAATAACTGGAAATATGGCACTTAGAATTCCATTCATAGAATAGAGAGATAAAAATTCCACACAAAGCAACTACCTGTTTCACTCTCCACTTTGCACTGCTTGCTAAAAACAAATAGTTTACTGGTGTAGTATAAGCTACCTGTCAAATTCATCCGTATTTTCTACCTTTACTACCTAAACAGAAAAATGGACAAAATATATGAAGCTACATTCGGAATAACAGGCTTTTCAATAGACACTCTTTCTTGTTCAGCTAGAGGAATAAGACATAACTGTTTGATAATTACCTTGCATTTGCTTGAACAATTCCATAAAACTTCCATCATTCTTGAATGGTATTTTGGACATTTTCATGTAACGCCAGATTACTAATTATATCGTAAATCCAATCGACTCATCAAAACAAACAGAAACAATTGTTGTGGTCAAAGTAGGAGGAGCTTTCACTTCAAATGGCTGTGGACGGAATAGAAGAAGCTTTCACTTAGCGAACTTCCGCGCCTGGTGGCAGTGGATCACTTCCTAGAACCGAGTCTTTGACGGTCACACGCCTCACTCGAGGAAAGGAATCTAAGCATCAATATCACCCGAGTCTACTTCGTGTAACACTTAGGAATGCTACCGACGTGGGGGATGTCCTGCTAGCTAGTTATTTACTGAAATCTGATGGGAACGTAAGAATACTGCCTGACATATCGTATTCTGAGCGCAATCTCATCCGGAACATCTCTAAAGAATCTCGCGAGAAGTTTTTCCGCGGAAGAAATATAATTGTGCATGGCGTACTGGAAAACACGGACTCTCGTCAAGTAAAATCCGATATCACGAAATGAAAATTCATCAAACAGTCCTTGAGGCTCAAAAACATACTAACCCAACATGTGACGAGACTAGCGAAGGAGGACGGTGATTCTAGACCCCGGCTAGTGAGGATAACTTTCCCATCCTCCCAGATGGCGGCTGCAACTCTGGAAGCATTTCGTACCAACAGACGTCGGTTGCCAACTGGAATCCACATGCACCCGGACAGGCCATATGAAGCCAGGACCAAGCACAAAGGCAAGTCGGAGACGATCATTCCACTTGTAGACTGTCTTGATCATAAAAAAACGTGTAAAGGACAGGGCCTTCCAACTCGGCAAACCTTATATAGGTAGGCTATCTGTCCATTCACGTAAGGCTCATACAGACAAACAGGAAGAAGCTCACGCGTTTCAGTTTGAAAGCATAAGCTGCTTATACATGAACGCTGTGAGTCTACCAAACAAAATGGATGAGCTAAGTGAACTTAGCAATGCTACTAATGCTCATCTGATAGGAATATCTAAAACTTGGACATCTCAGTTCTCGGACCAGGATCTAGCAACACCTGGGATGTCTTTGTTTCGCAACGACAAGAAATCAAGAATTGGGGATGGAGTAGCCGTATACATACGATCCTGTCTGGAGGTACACCAAGTTCACAACCAAGAGTTTAACAATCTTAAGAAATCCATATGTTGCTCTGTAGGGTTGTCTACTACTCCGAGGTGCCTATTCGGAGTCATATAAAGGAAGCCCATTGCTGACATCGAGTGTGACAGTCGTATGCTGGAAGGAATATCACACTCGACTCATTTCGGATTCACTCATATCCTGATTCTAGGGGACTTCAATCTCCCTAGAGCCAATTTTGCGGATTATACGTATATTGAAGGTGAAAACTCAACTGAAGCTCGGTTCTCCCAACTGGGTATTTACAAACAAAGAATTCCTCATTGATAACCTCTCAATCCTAGCTCCCTTGGGGAAAAGCGATCACGCCGTTATAGCTCTCAGTCTTGTCAGCAAAAATGAGCTAAGATATCCCACCAACAACATGCTCTGGAATTTCAAACGGTTGAATGTGTCAGCTACAAAATGATGAATATTAAGAACCAAACGAATAAGTTCCGTTCTACAAACGATATACACAGAAGAGTTGGTCATCCATATAGTCCGAGTCATTCAACTAAATCCAAGATGTCCATTGTATTATGTGTTCCGCCTGAGATTTGGAGATCTTCACAATCCAATCAACCATTGGAAGAGAGATAAAAGACGAGGGTGACAAGCCTCATATAGCACCGGTCCTCATTTGAAGAGCACCTATGGGCTGTCCCCGTGCACGACTCTGCAGTGTGGTCTGCAGCATGAAATCCGTATGATATTGATGATCTTCTCAGATACATCATAGTGTAAAAGAAGGTTAGTTAAAGTTCTTCTATCTACTCTGTCAGATGCTTTCCCAAGGTTAGGGGAGTTCATATATAGTGATGAACTCCACTCAACTGAATTTTTGCCAGTGATCCGTAGTGTCGTGATTCGGTCGGTACATGGTTGGGCCTTACGGAATCCAGACCGTTATCTTGAAGTTGGGCATCAGCGGGATCCTTTATTCCGTTCAGCAAAACTTTCGGAACTTCTCTCGTAGCTGATTGTAGTACAATGCCTCTATAGTTCTCATCCTTGCCGAGATCTTTCTTTCTACTTTGTCGGCACTTGTTTTTCTTCCCAAGCCCTTCTGAGTAAGATGTGGAGCATCTTTACAATTATCCCTATGCCTAACTTCAGTGCTTCACTTGTTGTATTCTCTGGCCGTACTGTCTTCTCATTCTTGATTTGTCTGGTGGATATGCTAATTTTTTCGATTGTCGGTGAGGTAAGAACTACGGGAAGGCACATGTGTGCTGCCCCAATGTTTGGCGGACACAGTGAGGCTGGTCTATTCAAGAGCTCTTCAAAGTGCTCTACCCACCCGTTCGGCCGTTTCTGAATCACAGTGATTTTCTTACCTCCACCGAAGCACACATCTGTCCAGTTTATATTCAATGGGTTTGATTTACTCAGTGGATGAAGCTTTAATTTGTGGACAACCTATGAGCGGCGCTAAAATGACCATGGAATGTCCACCTACTTATTAGGGTTAAATGAGGGTTACAGATTAGTGTGAGTGGTTAGGTAAACAGTTGACTGAGATTTAGTGTTTTCATCACGCACTAACATCAGCCACAATGCCAAAATGATACCTAACCAAATAAGTGAATAAATATCGCGCCGAAATCCATGACCTGGGATGTCAAATCTAATTGCTTCGTGCATAAATTATAGTCTCACCATCCCGAGCACCGCCAGAATGTATCTACTTACTTTCGTAGCTACTTGGTTGGTCCGCCTAGTTTCCTGCATTGTGAGAACATTCTATATGCCTATGTGAGTTGTTACGTTTGTTGTTGGAGGAGGTAAGTGGCCTCATGACTCCCATGGAATCTCGACCTTTATCATTAGACGTTATAACTCTTCTAAATGAATGTCCTTCAACACTCAGGGCAGAGTTCAACTGGCCCAAATGGTTTTCAGTTTAGCGTTCTTTAGCTAATTTTACGGGGCAGGGTTGTTAATCCCATGCCCGGCCCTCCCCCCATTATCCGAGCTTCAGACTGGCGATAACCCTAGAGGGCCTACAAGTAGAGTTGAATTGTGGGAAAATTATATTTGGACTTAGGGTTGATGTATTGTAGCGCGTGGAATTCTGAGATAAACAGTCACCCTTGAAGATGCACTTTACTGCGTACTAAAACATGTCTGGACTCAATTACTGACTTACCAGACAGTCAACATATGGAAGGTTCAGAGGTGACCCAACAGTGAGCGACAATATCATGTATAACGCTGACAATCTTTTGTAACACTTACATGTTTCCAGCCCTGACCTAAACCATAGAAGAAACAACTGTAAGATTGAATTATAATATACTACGTCGGAAAATAGACTAGTTTGACCACACGAGAATGACCAGAACTCGAAATTTACTATCATGTCCTGCACGAGTAAAACGTTGCTCATATTCTTACATCGCTGCACGGTTTTTATAAGTAGGTAGGACAGCTTCATGCCATATGATTCATTGTCGCACACGGAATGGGGATGTGAATTAGCGACAGTCAGTAAAGACCAACTCAGGAGCATAATTGAGACGACGAGGCTCAGAAAAGCTAGAGTGGCATTTCTATGTATCACTTTAGTCCACATATTAAGCACACTATTCTGTCCGTATGAGTGCATTTCTTACTAGAAGCAGAGCACACTAAATATCACGGCATGATTCAGGATGAAAGTGGTGTGGCTTCAACGTAAAGTCACATGGATTAGACACTAACATTGCGGGGGTCACTTATACTGGATCGGATCAGTTGGTCTGGTAGAATGAGTCCGTCAGTATTGAAAATATCTCGAAACCCAAAATTCTCCCAATGAGCCACTTTTCGTCCTTTCATTTTCTATATATTTATCACTGATCTGCAGAAATATCTGGGTTAACTGATCCTCATCTACTCTGACGACATGAAACGTCGAAGAGTCATCAGATATTAGGATATATTCCCAAGGTTTGAATGGAAGGTGAAGGAAATACAAACGATTGGAAGGCGAAACTGAAAATTGTTTATTTGTCTTGCGAAGTCGGTTGTAGACACGGTAATGTATATTGTCTCTTTAAATAAGTTGTTCAGCTCCAGGTGTTCCGTAAACCTGTCATTGACTATGGTCGTGATGAACTTTGACAGAAATGGGAGGAACGAAATATTTTTATTTTGGTTTTTTGGGGACGTTAGATACCAAGAGCACACTTGGATAAGTTTTTTTAATTTTGTTCAGAATATTTCAATTTTTTCGCTCCAAATTCGCTCTTTGCACCCTCATATGGTATTTCTAACGTGAATGAATCTTTTATGGTTTTGGTCCGTTGTGTCGTTAATTATGCTGTTTTTTCACTCTCTCCAAAGACGGTTTGTGCCGTACATACACGTTTTGATTTGTTTCTGTTTTTACGGCTCGTGCTTTTGGAGCGTGCGGAATATATTTCCCCATTTCAAGCTTGGGCTTGTTCCTCTCGTTAGCGGGGCTGGGACGCATCGAATTACTGGCTTATTGGTCTTTGGTCACCGTGTCTTTTTTAAGTTCACAGATTAAGTGAACTCGTAACCACTTCAAACCTAGCAGTTTGGTTCGTTACCGTCTGCTTTGTTTCATGAGACCTTTGTTTGTAGCTTAGTAGCTGTTCTTTGGACCTTTTCCAACAGTTCACCATTTCGTTTTAGGTAGGAGCTGGCCGGATGTATGTATTACTCGAGTTTAGGACAGGTGAATTTTCTATACCAAGTTATAATGTTTTAGCTGTTTTAGGTAAACATTACATTTCTTCAACAAGCGTTTGAAACTTTTCTAAAATGTTTTTCTAATTATAGTCTCATATTCTTCGTTTTTTACCTATTATTTTATGATGCTTGATTAAATGTTTTGCAGAGTTTGCTCGTACGTTGATTGATTCCAAATG